GAGACAGGAATCCAAACTTCAGAAGTATAGGTACATCCAAATCTAATCCAATGAGAAGAAGTCATAAAGCCCCCTCATACCTTTGCTTTTTATCTTTTTCTTTTTTACTTTTTATTGTGAATTGAGTCTAGATTTACAGATCATCAGTTTTACATTCAACAAATCATACAATTCATTTTATCTGAATGATTGCAATCCCTCAATGTAACATCAAGTGTCCCACTTCCGCCCTGTATTTCATGTTTCCATTCCTCCTGCTTTCCCAGCCCTTCTGAATTTGGGTAAATGCTACCCTTTTGACCTTGAATGGTTGAACATTTTATGGTGTGCATATTTCATGGGTGCCCCCTTAAATACCTATCTATGGCTTGGCTGAAAATTGAAGCACAGGGTGTATGCTTTATCTTTGTCATGTTATGGGTGGCAGGGGAACCCTTAAGGGACTAACAGAGCAGCTGTAATTAACTAAATTCCTCTTTAAATGATACCTTTCTCAGTCAAGCCCACCCTGCTTCTCTCTCTCTCTCTCTCTCTCTCTCACACACACACACACACACACCATTTATAAGGGAAAGGATTGGAAGGTGCACACTTGCCAAAAGGAGCCAAGAAACAGGATATAAAAGCATGTTGGGAACTGTAAAGCTATTTAAAATACTGTCATTGTTATTGGTCGCTGTCCTTTAAAGGGGAACAATCATCTCCTTTGAAGTAGCTTATGGTATTAATCTTATATATAATTTCTCTTTTTGTGTATATCAGCTCTTCATACCTTTTGGCCATAACTTTTAGCAATTCTGTCTTAATGCGTGTTTTTCCTTGCTGGTACTTTTCTTATTATACTCATTTCATACATATTGTAGTAATATTTTTTTTCTCTATTTGGACAAACCCATCTGGTCTTGGTCAATAACTTCTAATTCTTTAATAATCACAAATTTACCTTCTCTTCACAGCAAATTAGTAATCTTGCAGAATGCATCTGATCTTAGGAAGCAGAGTTTTTTCCAACATGCATATGTGTGTGTATAGAGATGTGTAGAAGCATCACATCACCCTGAGATGGAATCAGTCATCCATGTCAGAGATGAGGAACAGGGTCTCAGGGTGGTTAAGTCATGTGATGGGGTAGAACAGGTGTTGGATCCCAGACCCATCTAGTTTTTTCCAGTGCCGAGTTGAGCAAACCCTCCAGAAACCCTGGAAAATACAGTATTCACGACTCGGGATATTCTGACCTGTTGTTGTGAAGTGCCATCGAGTCAGTTCTGATTCATAGTGACCCTGATAAGATTTCTGAGGATGGCTTGTGGGTTTGAACTGCTGACCCTGAGGTTAGTAGTCCAGTGTTTACCCTATAGTGCCACACCAGGACTCCATTCTGACCTAGAATCTTGAAAAACATCAAATAGAGGAGGGGTGCCTTGTAGATCAGTACATATACACCCCCACACATACACACACACAAATATCCACACACCTCTGTAAAAACACACGTGTGCAGGTGAAAAAACACAAAAACCTCACAAAAGAAAAAAAATTAATAAACCATTTGCTATCAAATCTGTTCTGATTCATGGTGACCCTATGTGTTTCAGAGTAGGATTGTATTCCATAGGGTTTTCAAGGTTATAACTTTTAGGAAGCAGATCACCTGGTCTTTCTTTGGTGTTGCCTCTGGGTGGGTCGAACCACCAACCTTTTCGTTAGTGGCCATGAGTTTAACCCTGTGCACCAGCCCCAAGCCTAAACCCACCAGCATTGAGTGAATTCTGACTCACAGTGAACCCATAGAACAGGATAGAACTACTGTCCCTCCCACCCCATGATTTCTAAGACTGTAATATTTATGAAGTCCTGATGTGGTGCTGTGAGTCAATGCACTGGACTGCAGAGTCAGTTTGAGCTGCAAGGTTGGCGGTTCAAGCTCACCAGCTGCTCCTCAGAAACCCTATACAGGGTCGCTATGGGGCAGAACTGACTCAATGGCGCTTAACAACAACATTTATGGAAGCAGACGCCCACATCCTGTGGAGTGGCTGGTGGATTTGAAATGCTAACCTTCTGTTTAAAAGTTGAGGGTTTTAACCGGTGTGCCACCAGAACTCCCTTTGTGCCACCCAGGAACTACAAACCCTCATCAACACAAACATATATGGTGAGTGTGGTGGCTTTGTATGATAAACACAGGACTTCAAATGGCAACATCGGCAGTTTGAACCCACCAGCTGCTTCGTGGGAGAAAAGTGAGGCTTTCTGCTCCTGCAAAGATTTATAGTCTCTGAAACTCTGTAAAGGGTCACTATGAGTTGGAACCGACTTGATGACACTTAGCAACAATACACATATACAGATGTGTGTACACATGAGCACTGATAAAATAATGACAATAGTTAGAGTGTTGTGTACTTCAGGCATTACCAGAACACCACACCAAACGTTAGCTGCCTACAACAATCTTCTGAATAGAATGCATCTTAATACTCCCACTGAGTGAGTGCTTATATGGGCCAAGCACTATGCTAAGTGCTTCAAATGCATGATCTCATTTAGTCTGCACGCTAGTTTATGAGGTAAATACTATTTTTAGCCCACTATACAGATAGGGAAAGCAAGGCTCAAAGCAGTTAGATAGGTGATTTGCCCTATATCTGAGAAATGCCACTACTTTTGCAACCCTCTCCCAGATGTACTTGTCCACTGCCTATTCATGCTGCTACCTGCAGGGGGCACCCTTGCTATTTCTGGACTGACCAAGATGATACTAAGTACTGTTGAGTCGATTCGGACCCCTAGCGACCCTCTATAGGGTTGGTTTCTGAGGAGCAGCTGGTGAGCTTGAACCTTGTAGTACAAACGGCTTTGCAGTCTGATGCATTAACCACACCAGGACTCGGGACTGACCGGGTAGAGGAGTGCAAAGAAGCATCTCTTTTTACCCTGGAAGTTCAGAAAGCAGAAGCTGCTTTTCATTTCTTGCTTCCAAAGAATAAAAAAGCTGAAGCCAATGCAAGGACAAGTAATGTCCAGTCATGCTTATCATAGATGATAACAATCTATAAACAACTATTTGTTGAACACATTCAGTGAACACATGCTAATCCTCACATTACCCTGAGACTGAATTGGTATCCATGTTAGAGATGAGGAACTAGGGATTGGAATGGTAATTTCACATGATGAGATACAGCCAGTTTTGGATCCCTGACCCATCTGGCTCTTTTCACTGCCAAACCAGGGTACTGCCTTTTTAGGAGGAGCTGGGGCCAGACTGTCACATCATGTTCCTAGCTGAACCCCATGACCCCTGGGACCCAAAGTCAAAGCTGTCCTGTGCTCTGTGTTACTGCCACCTGCCCTGACCATGAAATTGGGAGCCCTAGAACCTGTGGTTTAGAGAGATGTCAAATGACAGTGGTGAGCCTCACCTCACCTGCTCTGGGGAACCCTCCTCCTCCCTGGGCCTAGGCTTAAGGGCAGGGAGTCCCCCATTCTCAGCTGGCCAGAGCCCAGCTCGGTAATGAGACCAGAAAGCCCTCAGGTCTCCCCCAGTACATCTAGGTCCTCACCCCAGTGAGTGGCACCTGCATCATAAACCCCGATGCCCTGAGCAAACACTGCCCCAAGAGTGCCTATCTTAGATGTAGAGCAGCTTTCCAGACTGCTCTGAGTGGCTGACTATGCCTCCCATATCCTCAGCAACCTCTCCATAGTCTTTCCTGGGCTCCAAGTCTGTCCCTAATTACAGAGGCTCTTCTTGCATTGGCCCACTCTTCCCTGGGAGCTCCATCTGCCCATCACTCAGGGTCCAGGCAGGGCTTTATTGTTGTGTGTACCTTTGAGTCCATTCTGACTCATGGCAGCCTACAGAACAGAGTAGAAATGCCCCATAGGGTTTCCAAGCCTGGAATCTTTACAGGAAGGAGCCCTGGTACCGTAGTGGATTACTTGTTGGGCTGCTAACCAGCCTCAAGTTGAACAGTTCAAACCTACCAGCCATTCCACAGGAGAAAGATGAGATTTCCTGCTCCCGTAAAGATTTACAGCCTCAGAAACCCAATACAGGGTCACTGTAAGACCTGACTTGATGGCATGCATCAATCATCACAGGAGCAGACTGCCACATCTTTCTCCCACAGAACAGCTGCGGGTTCAAACTCTCAGTTAGCAGCCAAGCACTTAACCACTGCACCATCACGGCTACCTTGCTGACTGACTTCTAATCCCTGGCCCTGTACTCAGCTCCCTTCCCAGAGACAGATCTAGACTCTGCTTTCATTGTGGCTCCTATGATGGCTCAGAGCAGACAGCTGTCTGCAGGGAGCTCTAGACATAAGACTGCTCACATGCTGAACCTCCCAGGCCCCGTTCCCCCTCTTGCATAGTGCTCAGCCACACCTGGGGTCTTGCCATGAACCAATGTTCCCAGGTACCTACCTGTGGACTTTAGGCTCTGACCCAAAGTTTCATGTTGAGCACCCAGACCTCCTGTCACCCAGGGCCACTGATCCCAGAGGAGTTGTGGCAGACAGAGATGGTATAGTTTCCATTTTATTTGCCTGCTTCTGATAGCCTCTCTCAGATCATAGTTCAGGCAGGAAGGAGCAACCCTGCAATGTACCATCACACCAAGGAGGGGCCCACCCAAACTGCACCTACCCACACTCCCACACAAGCCCCTGTCCAAAGACCCCCGTTTTCCTAAGAAGCAGTAAGAGAACACTGGACGCTGAAACACAAGAAGGCAAAAGTCACTTTCTAAGAATTCAAAATGTCCAAACGGAAGAGCCAGGCAGGATCTTGTTCCATTCTACCAGCTGACACTCCAGGCTTGGTGTGTGGGGTGCAAGCCCAGGTCCCAGGGTTTCCACCACCTGCAAGGCCGCTTCCTTGTCTCTCTAGGCCAGTTCAGTTTTCCTCTGACCTTTTTGCAGTCAGCCAGCCAGTCGCTCCAGGAGGGAGAGCTCTCTCCAAGCCCACCAGTCCACTCTGTGGCCAGGTCAGCAGTGCTGGTAGCTCAGCCCTGGGTCCGCTCGCAAGTAGCCTCGAGGCCAGGAAAGTGCCCCGGTAGAGGCAGCTCCCGGGCATCTGTGCCAGCATCCCCCAGAGGCATGAGCCACACCTGACGCCTCCACCACCGCCCTGGGCCTTCCCCAGTGCGCGTGCTGGGAACACGAGGCGCAGCGCGATGCTGGTGGCACCAAGGGGCAGACCGCGTCCCGATGCGTGAGGCTGGGCCTGGCAGGCGGCGGTGTGGGCCGCGGCAGATTGGAGGCCGTGTCCTGGGCGCCCCTTCCGCGTCCGGCTTGGCCGTGGCACTCCAGGTGCCCGCAGGGCCATCGGGGTACGGGACTAGCACGCAGGACCAGGGAGAGCGCCGTGATGCGGTGAATAGCTCTGCGCAGCGTGGCGATCTTGGAGAGCCGCTTGCCGCCCAGGTCGTGTTGCAGGGCCCGGCGGAGCGCGTTGAAAGCCTCGTTGTAGTCCAGGATGCGCTTGCGCTCCCGCACGTTGGCTGCCATGCGCCGGGCTTTGGACCGTACTGGACGGACGCGCTTCCGGCCTGCTGCCTCCTCCACCTCTCCCAGAATGCGAGGGGCGCCGTTCTCCCTTAATACCCCCAAATCCCTCCCGGCCTCCAGGTAAGATCCCTCCAAATCCTCCACAGAGCCCTTGCCCTCCTTCAGGCCCCTGAGGCCTGGTCTTGGCACACCTCGGAGCATGGCCTTCTCCTGGGTCCCGCTGCTCCGGGTCCGGTTGTGTTGGCTTCTGTAGGATGGACACTCCCCTGACAGGCCCTCTCTGGCCGGGGCTTTATGGCACCACGTGGCTCCCCGCCCTCCCCATCTATCCATCTCCCTCCTTCTGCTTTATTACCTGCCCCCAGGTAGGTTGGTGAGGGAGGAACCAGAGGAAGGAAGGAAGCAACGGAGGAAGCGTGCAGATTCTTGTACTAGGGGGCCAGACGGGCAGCCCAGCCATGCCTGGAGCAGTGCTCCAGCCGTTGCTGGCTCTAGCTCCCTCCAGGGCCTCTCGGGGAAGCTGGGTTCCACATTCTAACTCCTGACCCCAGGTTTCTGTTGTTAAGTGCCGTTGAGTCGGTTCCCACTCACAGCGATTCTGTTTAGGGTTTCCAAAGTTGGCAGAGCACCGAATTTGACTTCTAGGCAAGAGAGCTGATAGGTTCCCAAAAGAATCACAGTGGTGGGTTGGGTGTATTTCAAAAATCTTGAAAGTTCTTGTCAAGTCCTGTCTGCAACCAACAACGGGAGGCAAGAGGTCACAGTGCTGCCATTGAGAAAAGCATGCCTGTTTCAGCAGAGCTGAGAGGGGAAGGGCAGATCTTATAGGGGACAAAGCCAAGCCCCGCAGATAAAGAAAAACTGAAAGCCTCTGGCTTTTTTAGCTGCCAGAGTGAGGCTGCCTGAGATTTTGAGTTTGGGCTTTGATTGGGCCTTACTTTCCCCCCATCTCAGTTTAGTTTCCTCTCTTGTAGCTAGAGCTGGATTGAGGCAGCAGCAAAGGGTGATACCCTCTGGCTCCCCCTGTGGTTCCCATCAGCAGCATCTCTTGGGGTCCAAGGCCCTAGGGCATTCCTGACACAGCACAACCATGTTATGAACTCAGTGTATCACTCCCCACCCCTGGGCATTTGAGTTTTAAACAGTGTTTTAGGAAAAGAATAATGCTTAATCCTAGAGACAAGCCCCTAACAGTGGAATTCCAGGCGTTAGTAGATGAGTTATTTAGAGCACTTTCAGGTCAATCTTGTTCACAGCCACAATCCACAAGCCTCCAATATGCCAAACCCTGTTGTGATGTTAGCTAGGATGAGTATGTAGTTCACATCCATTTTGTCAGAGAACAGACAACCCCATTATTTAAACTGTGAATTTCTCCATGGAGGAACAGGGTACTAGGGAGCAGAATACATGTCTGCATTTATTTCTGTAATTATCTGTGTTCTTTTCTTGTCTGCCTTTGCTCACTAGACTATGAGCATTCTTAGTACATTTGTTATTTACAGGGTTCTATTAAATCGGGCTCTTAACCTCAGGGTCAGCAGTTCGAAACTACCAGCTGTTCCATGAGAGAAAGATGAGGCTTTCTGCTCCCATAAAGATTTACAGCCTCGGAAACCCTGTACAGGGTCCCTATGAGTCAGAAGCGACTCCACAGCACATAACAACAACAACAACAATTTTCCAAACCTACAATCTATGCAAAATGAAAACATCTAAATGGAATGTCTTCTCCTCTCTAAAGGCAATTGCTCAAAGGGCAGCTCAAAAAGACAAAGTCAAATATTATAACAAAATGTGCAAAGACCTGGAGTTAGAAACCCAAAAGGGAAGAACATGCTCAGCATTTCTCAAGCTGAGGGAACTGAAGAAAAAATTCAAGCCTCACCCTTGTACTATTGAAGGACTCCATGGGCAAAATATTGAATGATGCAGGAAGCATCAAAAGAAGATGGAAGGAATACAGAGTCACTGTACCAAAAAGAAATGGTCAATGCTCAACCATTTCAAGAGGTAGCTTATAAGCAAGAGCCAATAATACTGAAGGAAGAAATCCAACATGCATTGAAGTCATTGGCAAAGAACAGGAATTGATGGCATACAAATTGAAATCTTTCAACAAACTGATGAAGCACTAGAGGAACTCATTCATCTATACCAAGAAATTTGGAAGACAGGAAGAGATCCATATTTGTGCCCACTCCAAAGAGAGGCAACCCAGCGGAATGCAGAAATCATCCGACAATATCATATGCAAGTAAAATTTTGCTAAAGATGATACAAAAATGGCTGCAACTGTACATTGACAGGCAATTACCAGAGGTTCAAGCCGGATTCAGAAGAGGACGTGGAACGAGGGCTATCAATCTGTGTTGGAAGAAGTACAGCCAGAATACCCCTTGGAAGCCAGGATGACCAGACTTCGCCTCTCATACTTGAGACATATCATCTATCAGGAAGAACCAGTCTGTGAAGAAGTACTTCATGCTAGGTAAAGTGGAGGGTCAGAGAAAAAGAGGAAGACCCCCAACGAGATGGATTAGCACAGTGGCAGCAGTGGGCTGAAGCACAGTAACAATGTCAAGGTTGACACAGGGCCAGGCAGTGTGTGTCAAAGTAGGATTTTGCTCCATAGGCTTTAAAGTGACTGTTTTTTGGGGAAGTAGAGCACCAAAACTTTCTCTCAAGGTGCCTCTTGGGTAGACTTGAACCACCAAACTTTTGGGTGGCAGCTGAACATATTGTTTGCAGTGCTCAGAGACCCCTTTCTCCTCTCTACTGTTTTTTTCCCTATCGTTCCCACAACACACACCCACACAGCACATCCATGTAGAATTCTACCCCAAGTATGAGCCATGATGTCTGAGCACTCATGTCTACCTCTCCAGCTTAGGTGACAAATGTCAGTCAGTCTCTCTGGGTTTCAGAAGAGGAGGCAGGACATTATGCCAAACCCAGACAATCTGGTTCCTGCTCCTGGGTTGAGTGTCAAACTCTGAGGCCATCTCTGACCCCCACTCCCGCTCCAGGCCCATTAGCTCCTTGATGCGCCATGCTAGACAGTTGAGTCATTTCCCTGATGACTCAGATACTGGAACTCAGGGCCTTGCTCAACCCATCAGAAAGGCCTGATCCCCGAACTCAATGGTGGGCATACTAGGTAGGCCTTTGAGCCCCAGAAGGGGTAATTGGGAAAGGCAATTTGATGGGCAGCCCTCCAGTCATGACTCCTTCCTGAACTGTTCCCATTCAGGGTACAGTTGGAACCATAAGTGCCCCTCTCGAAGTGGAGACTGGAAGTCAGGAGACCTGGTTCTTGTTTTGCCACCAGCTTGCTATGTGATCGTGTCTGTCATGTCTTCCTCTTTGTTACCTTTGTTTACTTTTCTTTGCAAAGAAGATATCCTCTCTACAAAAGAATGGCTGCATAATTTGTGGGGTCCAAAGCCAAATTAAAACGTGGTGACCCCGATTCAAAATTATTAAGAATTTCAAGATGGCAACAGCAGAGCATTAAACCAGGCCTGGGGTCTTTCTGTCATATTCCTATGGAGCCGGACCTGGGTGTAGAACAGAGGAGTGTAACAATAATGAGCGTAAACTTTGGGTCTAAACTCATCTGAGTACCTGACTTTGCCACTTTCAAAGACATAACCTGGGGAAATCTCTAAACCTGCAAAGTGAGGGTGATACCAGTCTTAGAGGATGAAATGAAATGGAACTGGATAAAGAATCTGTTGAGTCCATTCTTACTCATAGAGACCCTGTATAGAGTTTCTGAGGCTATATCTGCCAGAGCAGAAAGCCTCATCTTTCTTCCATAGAGCAGCTGGTGGGCTTGAACTGTGGACCTTGTGGTTTACAGTCCAGTGCTTAACCTACACAGCCACCATGATACTGGATCGAGAATTGTTGCTGTTTTTAAGTGTCTCAAGAAATAGTGCTTTTTCATCCTGTCTAGACAGGTCTGGTGAAAGGAGATGGGGACAAGACTCTCATGATTCAATAGTAAGTCATTGTTACCATGACTAATTGCGATTATCGCACCTTAAAGATAGAAGTTTTGTAGTAAAAAGGAGTGAATGGTCGATCTTACAGTCCTGGAGCAGAGGACCCTGGGACCATCAAGGGAGAAGAGAGGGAACAGAGTGTGGGACCCTACCCAGAGAAGCAACAATGCCAGAGATAGAGGCAGAGATAATGATATGGAGAGACGGAGCAGCTGAGGACTCTAGACTCATGGAGGGAGAGAGGATGTGTGCTGGTGGCCGGGGGGCAGGCTTACAGGGTGTGCCCTGAGTGTTTTGGAATAGAAGCAAATACTGTTGAATGAAGACGCATGCAGGGGATTGTAATCATTGCAATGAAAGGAATACAATAGGATGAGTGTAAAACTGATGTTCCCCCCCATGTAAACTATCACTTAATTCACAATAAAAGCTTAAAAAAAAGAAAAGAAAAGAAATAGTGCATCTGCAAAAGAACAAAAAAATCTGTGTTGGAACAAGCACAGCCAGAATGCTCCAAGATGGCAAGACTTCATCTCTCATACTTCGGACATATTATCAGGAGGGACCAGTCCCTGGAGGAGGCTATTATGTTTGGTAAAGTGGAAGGTCAGCAAAAAAGAGGGAGACCCCCATTGAGATGGACTGGCACAGTAGTAGTAACAGTGGGCTCAAGAGTAACAAATTGTGAGGATGGTGTCGTTTCGTTCTCTTGTGCATAGGGTCACTGTGAGTTGTAGTGGACTCATCAGCACCTAATAACAACAACAACAACATTTAAAACCGACACACTAAAGCAACAGATATATAGGGCACACAAAGATAGACTTCATCAGTAGTGACATTATATATAAAACTGTACATAGTTGGGAAGGATTAAGTGTATATTGAAGGTGAAATTGTCCATTTGAATTAACATTTGACCATCAAGGAAGGTGTACACCACTATCTTATGCAGAGATATGAAAACTCTTCAACAATGCTTTGAAACTTTAGAAAACAATGTAATGTGTAAGAAAGGTTCTTAACCTAAGGGATATGGGGTTCAGAGAGTTAGTGAATCTCCTGAAAACGGCATGCAAAATTATCTCACATGCATTTTTCTGCAGCAAATAAGGATCCTTAAATTTCAAAAAGTTGTCAAATAAATATGAAACTTACAGAATCAATGATTTAAAGTATTATTAAACCAGT